TCGAGTTCGCATCTGTCATGGGTCTATTCCCTACGAAGACTGCAAAACTCAATGGGTGTGGGTTCGCATCGGGCTCCCTTCCAGAACGGGGTTGCGGGGATTTGCCCTGTGGCTCCTTGTCCCTCCTAGGAGACCTACTTCGACGATGAGGAGATTCACGTCTCTCCCGATCCCTCGAAATCCTACCTCCCGTGCGCGAAGGTTCGCCACTTCGATTCATGTCTCCTCCCAGCTCAGCTAGCGTCCTCGCTTCCCCTTTGCTGTTAAAGAAGAGTCTGTTCGACATTCGCACTTGTTTATTCTTCATCAAAGACCTGGACTGAGTTGCTCACTGAGCACATAGATAGAACCTTCATTCATTTATTCCCTACGAGGACAGCGCCACCGAGGCAATCTCATTAATATCGAAACCTCAACAGCCCGGCGCCGACCGAGTCGTGCCCCCATCAAACACTGTTATTCGGCAGTCTTAACTTCTGCAAGGGCAAATTCATGAACCAGCTGGGGCAAGGGCAAATTCATCAATCTATTCGGCTTGAGTGCCGCAGCCGCTTCACGAATCGACTCATCAATATTGTCTGATTCGGCGTTTAATGTTCATGAACCAGCTGGGGCAATGGCAGATTCATCAATCTATTCGGCTTGAGTGCCGCAGCCGCTTCACGAATCGATTTACTATGCCTATTCAGCACCAAGAGTCGATTTACTTGTTCGGATAAATTAAAGTTTAACTAATATAATTGCCAAGATTACGCTGCTATCTAATCGATAGTTAGAAGGCACAACGGACAATAATCATTTTATCCAAAGTAGTGGAAGGCAAAACTCTTCATTAACATCAAAAGCTGCGTACAAGTAATAGTGAAACGGGAAAGAAATTTTCATTAATAAATTGAGCGCAGATAGTAACTAATTTATACATAAAAATTACCTTGAACTAACAAGAATCCACTAAACAAAAACGTGCATTGAAATTGAAGATACCTAATAAAACTAGAATGTCTCCCAGATCAATCCTCGGGATCAGACTCAAGTGGCTCAATGTCCACTTGCTCGTATGGAATTGGCAAGGCCAATGTAACTCCAGCGGCAGCAAGGGCTTTGAGCCACCCATGTTTGAATTCCCGATTCTCGAATTTGGGGACCTCATCTACGTATTCCTTCAAGGCGGCGCTCTTCCCAGCCTCTAGCGCCGTAGAAGCTTCAGATTCGGCTTTTTCCTTGGCCGCCTTCAATTCTTCTAACTCGGCCTCCACCTTGGAAAGCGCCTCCTGGGCTAACTTGAGCGACTCCTCGCTCGCGTTCGCCCTATCCTCGGCTTCGGATCTGAGCTGGTCAGCAGTCCGAGCCCTCTCCTTTTTAGCTTCGACTCGAACACTTTCCATTGCGGCTCTCATCGCCCCAAACTCGGCCCTGTTTCTTTCACCTTCAGTTTCAAACTTTAAGCGGCCAATTCTTTCAATGGCATCGCGCTGCTGGCGGCCTAGTTCGGCTATCCTTTCAACCGTCTGCAAAACAAGTTTGGATCACTACACCAAGCAATATCGTATGCAAACCAAACCGGACGAGCAAAAAAGAAAGTATCGTATACATACCAGAAGGGCCGACTGGGCAGCGAACGCTATAGCTACCAAATCCGGCCCTTCTCGAAAAGTGGCCTTGTCAGCCGGTAGCGAAACTGAGGCGGCCAAGCTCAATGCCACGGCTAGATCCTTCATGGCAAATGCGTCAGAGGAGATTGCCGTGTCTTTGATCTTTGGTTGAACAACGAAAGGGACAACCACGTCGAATTCCTCTAAGCGAGGCCGTTTGTCAATAGGGTTATCCTCTGAGCCAGCCTCTCCCTCGGCGGAACGTTTTTCGCCCCGCTCTTTTGAAACCAGCCGTTCTTCCGTAACCTGCTGTTCAGCCCCCTCCATCTCGGCCACAACAACTTGAGTCGTTTCTTCTCCAGTAACCGGTTGTAAAGATTCAACCGGGGCAGGCTTAGAACGAGCGGCCTCGGCTTTCTTTCGGGCGGCCATTCGCTCGGCATTTCTCTTTCTCACCACCTGCGTGAGATTTTCCCCAGCCATGCCTTTAGAAAAAGCACCGGGTAGATCTCCCAAGTTTGTAAAAATATCTCCAAAGGAAAACTCCGTCCGACCCGAAGTGGACGGAGAGTTAGGCTGGTTAAGACCGGTTGCCGCAAACGCTGATTTCAGAGCTTCGTCAACCTCATCGGCCTCCTCAGCGAACACCTTCGTTGATTCTGCAACTACTTCGACCACCGGCTCTAAGTCTTGCTCCGAATTAGAAGTTTCGAGACCAATTTGCCTGAGGGTCTTGAAGCTGGGGAAGACAAGAGCCGTAAGGTGTTGTTTGCCGGTTGGGATCGGAATGTCGTCCGCGGCCGAGAATGTAGTATAGGTAGGCTCGTACCGAAGGAGAATATGGGCGGCTCTCCCTTGCTTATGTACGTTTGGACGGCCAAAGTACTTTAGTGCAGTCTCAATTTCCGCAAGGACTTCGTCATCTGCTGAGGTCAGAATCCTCTTCAACTTATTGCCTGTAGAAACAAAGGGTTAGACTTCGAGAAAAAGCCGAATAAAAGAAAGATCAACAAACAAGGAGTTATACGACAACCTGGTTCACTCCTCCGTTTGGGAATAGGGTCTAGGCGATCTTCGCCTTTGCCGAATTCCCGGTTGCCTCAGACATTGACCATTACATCATCAACTCGTTTGCCAGAGCTGGCAAGCAACGTTACTAAGTGATGGTCGGTGTCCTTAGCCCTGAAAAAATAGCGCCCGAGTTGACCGGAGGATTTGGCTAAAGTGTAGCAGTGCCGAATCGCCGGAATGCCAAGATTGATCTCGAGACGCCGGTTCAACTCTACGATTCCCATTACAATTCGAAAAAAATTCACATTGGGTTGCGAAGGAATCAAACCCCAATAGCGGAGGACGGCCCAAAGAAATGGGTGTAGGGGAAAGTGAACTCCGCCCTCCGCAATGGATAGGAGAGGAAAGACGATTGTATTTTGGTCGTCCCTCTCCATATCAAGGGTATTGTCCGTTACTAGAGATAAATGGACATCATCGGGGATAGAGAAATGTCTTCGGAACCCAGAAATTCGACCCTCAGAAAGGAGGTCTTTCAAATGCTTAGCCATTCTAGTAAGGACCCAAGGATATTCTAAAATCAAAGATAAAAACGGAAAGTAGGGTTGCAAAGAGAAGAGAAGAAAACTTACGAAAGGCAAAGGAGAAGACGGAGAGGAGTCGCAGAAAACGCGTTGGAGAAGAGACACCGACTGGCAATCCAGGAGGTTCAAATATTCGAAAAAACATGCATTCAAAGGGACTGAAGTTTCAAATCGTAATAAATGCGAGAGAAGCACGAATGAGGCGGGAAAGTGTTGCAGTGACCAAAAGGCATGTACACGTTCTGACGCGCATCGGGAAGAGGGTTAACTGCCGAATTTTTGACTGCCCTTGGACATTGACCATTACATCATCAACTTGTTTGCCAGAGCTGGCAAGCAACGTTACCAAGTGATGGTTGGTGTCCTTAGCCCTGAAAAAATAGCGCCCGAGCTGACCGGAGGATTTGGCTAAAGTGTAGCAGTGCCGAATCGCCGGAATGCCAAGATTGATCCCGAGATGCCGGTTCAACTCTACGATTCCCATTACAATTCGAAAAAAATTCACATTGGGTTGCGAAGAAATCAAACCCCAATAGCGGAGGACGACCCAAAGAAATGGGTGTAGGGGAAAGCGAACTCCGCCCTCTGCAATGGATAGGAGAGGAAAGACGATTGTATTTTGGTCGTCCCTCTCCATATCAAGGGTATTGTCCGTTACTAGAGATAAATGGACATCATTGGGGATAGAGAAATGTCTTCGGAACAAAGAAATTCGACCCTCAGAAAGGAGATCTTTCAAATGCTCTGCCATTCTGGTAAGGACCCAAGGATATTCTAAAATCAAAGATAAATACGGAAAGTAGGGTTGCAGAGAGAAGAGAAGAAAACTTACGAAAGGCAAAGGAGAAGACAGAGAGGAGTCGCAGAAAACGCGTTGGAGGAGAGACACCGACTGGCAATCCAGGAGGTTCAAATATTCGAAAAAGCATGCATTCGAAGGGACTGAAGTTTCAAATCGTAATAAATGCGAGAGAAGCACGAAGGAGGTGGGAAAGTGTTGCAGTGACCAAAAGACATGTACGCGTTCTGACGCGCATCGGGAAGAGGGTTAACCGTCGAATTTTTGACTGCCTAGACTAGAAGCCAAACACGCCGACTAATTGATGCTAGTGGGGTGTTTGGGGGCAATTGTGGGAGCCGAATAATTGGAAGAGTCGGAAGCGTACTCTGGAAGACAGATACTACACGGCTCTATCCTACACGATCAGAATGCCGAATAATACAGATAGGCCGAATAGATATTGAACTATGAAGCCGAGTAAATAAGAGGATGATGAGTGAAAAGTGGGCCTGGCCCCGAAGCCAAGGGAACAAGTATAAATAAAGGAGCGACAGAATAAGAGAGGCATGTGAGAATTGTTGTGCTTAACTTAGAATACAAGCATTCTTGAGTATAGAGACTGACTTGTCCGTCGGAGTACTAATTCTGGCACCCCCGACCGGAGTGTTTATTCCTTTTCAGGTGACTATCAGCGGATCACGAGCTCTCCCCAGGATCAGAAACGTATTTCCAAACCACTTCTCCACAAGGTATCATCGATTTCTACTAGAGTTATATGTACAATTTATTCAAAAACTATTGAAGTAAATAAATAACATTAATTCTCCTTTGCAACTATTAAATGGAAAATAGGACAGAAACATGAAAGAAAGCGAATTTCTCATTTCATTGTCAGCCATAAAGTAAAGTGATATCATATACTTTAGTTAAATGGTTTTGTTTTTTTTTGTTTTTTGTTTTGATAAGTTAGTTTAATGATATGATATAAAAAAGAAAGTTACGTCCTTTTAACACTAGGTTTAAAAATTATACCGTGCTAGAGTTTGACTCAAGATTGTCCAGAGTTCCCATCCTTGTAAATATACGATCAACTACCCTTATAGTTGCAAAGCGGGCAGGAATATAACAACCGACTTGAGCAAGGATGACTATCAAGCACACCTGTTGAAGATAAGTACTTTTTCCACACCTGAAGGAAAAATAAATAGTTTTGCTTAAGTTAAGAAAGACAACAATACAAAACAGAAAGAGGGAGGGGAAAAAACCAAAAAAGAGGACTGAAGTATCCCATTAGCATATTAACTAGAAGAAATTTGTGCTATCTGTTGACTCCCTTTACCTCTTTTATGAACATCATACATTCCAAGACAAACTTCTCTAAAAATATTGGGAATTGTATGGGAAAACACCATCCTAAAAAAGTTATGAGAAGGCAGATATCTGTCACGTTTGGTTCTTCTTAGCTGGGTTGAGCGGACTTTTTTTTTTTCCCTTCTTCTTCTTCTTCTTCCATCTCACTTCTAATTTCCCAGCAAATACAGAGCCCGGGAAAAGCAAAGAGAATTGCCTCAACTCAGAACACCACGTGGAAAAGTGAATAGAAAAGGCATTGAAGTTAAAAAAAAAAAAAAATCCAAAACTGGAAGGCATACTCGATGAAACAATTTAAGGGACAAAACACACTCTTCTAAGACCAAATACACACACACACACACACACAATTCACCCCCGGTCTGTTGTGTAAGGCCACCTTTATGTTATGTTCGGTAACTTAAAATCCTTTCTAGGACAAGCTCTTTTTCCCTTCTTCTTCTTCTTCTTCTTCCATTTCACTCCTAATTTCCCAGCAAATACAGAGCCCAGGAAAAGCAAAGAGAGTTGCCTCAACTCAAGAACACCTCGTGGAAAAGTGGATAGAAAAGGCATTGAAGTTTAAAAAAAAAAAAATCCAAAACTGGAAGGCATACTCGATGAAACAATTTAAGGGACAAAACACACTCTTCTAAGACCAAATACACACACACACACACACAATTCACCCCCGGTCTGTTGTGTAAGGCCACCTTTATGTTATGTTCGGTAACTTAAAATCCTTTCTAGGACAAGCTCTGTTGTCATCAAGAAACTATGGGCTTGTTTGGTTTGTTTTTGGGAGAGTTGTTTTTGAATTTTTTTTTCAAAATTTTGTTTGGTTTGTGGTTTTTCTCAAAAAAATTTCCAAAATCACTTTGTCTCTCTTATACATCAATCAATCACTTTTTCTCTCTCCTCTCTCTTAATCAATCACTTTTTTTCTCACACACATCTACTCAATTACAACAAAATATCTAAACATCCTAAACTCCAAAACTACTTTCAAAATATACTACCAAACAAACTAAAAAATTTCTAAACTCTCTCCCCAAATTTTTTTTCAAAAACAACTCTCCCGAAAACAAATCAGACAAGCCCTATATGTCTCTAATTTTTGCTAATTCTCTTTAATATTCCCAAGTTTAGGGATTTTAACCTAGTAGCAAGTGAAAGTTTAAACTCAAGTAACAAGGTGATAAGGGAGATGTTTTTGATAGTCATTTTCAAGTCAGATTGACTCATGTAGGTTTCTCTAATTTTTTGAATGGCAACTACTTAAGTTCAAGTGAAATACAATGCTAGAATTGGTGATGAACTTCCTTTTCCCGACATAAGAATATATTCAAACCTATAAGAATATATTCAAACCTACAATCATAATATCATAGCAAAGATATTGTGTACCCATGACTTTTTAAGTCACAAATTTTCCCAGAAGCCTAAGCTTTTAGGAAATGGGCTCAACAATGTATATCAAGCAACACCCTCCCTCACGTGCAATGTGGAGAGACAAACAGAGAAGCAAACAGAAGGAGAAGCAAATAACCAAACGGGGAAAGAATATGAAATGCCATCGAAGAGAATTGAACCCAAGACCTCTCTCAACCTAAACTCTGATGCCATGTTAAGTCACAAATTTTCCTAAAAGCCTAAGCCATTAGGAAATGGATCCAACAATGTATATCAAGCTATTTAACATGACTATGGCAGCAGTGCATGCAGTTGAATATTGAGAGAACACATAAGGGTTACAGGATAGGTTCTCCTTAATGGAATCATTAACAGAATATTCTCTATCCTTCTTTTCTAGCCACTAAGCACAAATGCCATGAGAAAGTTGTGTAGAATTAGTGACAACAAACACATTTCAACAAGGAAAATCTTCATGATAGAATTTCTTACATGTTTGGGCCCATGACAATTATCATGTTTGATGCTTTGGAAAGGAATAAATTGTTGGGCTGCCAAAAAGATGAACAACCAACTGATTAATGCATTCATAATTTTGAGATTGCCAACATCAAAAGCCATAAATTTCTAGCTTTAAAAATCATTTCAAACATGAAATTAAAATTGTCAGAAGAAAAATGTAGCATACAACAAAGTCATTGTGTATGCTTTCCAAGATAGGGTGTCTTCCAGCATCAATTGCCAGTGGGCCATTATCTACCAATTGCATGACACAAGTTAAGTATTCATCCATTTCTATCTTACGAAGCAATATCAAGAACAATATAAGAAATGTTACCAGTAAATTGAGGTCTAACATATCGATCAACAGGCTTAGTGGATATTGTATGAGCAAATGAATTCACAATCATATCTAGAAGGCTTAAGACCTCAGCGAGCAGGGTAAGCACAGAGACATCTTCCCTTATGGCATCAGCTAACGCTGCATCCATACAAAAAGGACCATAAATTTTAAATAGACAGCATCTCTACCACTTGCAGTTGCAAGGAACAAGAAAAAGAGTACATTAACAGTTGATCAAATGCCTTTTGAAAATTACTGGTTAAGGATTCTTCTTGAAAGAGATGTTGAAAACATCTAACTAATATTCTTGTTACATTTATTTTTGTTTGGCTTATAGAAGGCACAAAAGCTAATAGAACAACAGAAATTCATGTCCAACAGGAACAGTATACTTTGTTGAATAAAAGTAGAGCATAAGCTTTCTCCCACGTTAATAGATACAAACATGAATTGCTTAAATGACCATCCAAATTATGTTGGCCATTCAGAAACAATTAGTACGATAAAAGTAAATGCACTGAGTCATACTCCCCAAAGGAAGGAATTCATTTTTTCATAAATGTGTGCCCGTGAACATGTGTGATGCAAAGGGCTGCATCTAATATGCAACAATGGCGAAAAAGATAGTGCACATTGAAGATTCTACTCGTGTAGTTATGAAAATTATTGTCCAAATAAGATGACTGAGCCAGTTTGGGCCATTGCAAAACCCTCATCAACCAAACTCACACAATAATAATTCACCTTTTAACCTCCCAGTTTAAGTATGCTCTAATTAGCAAATTTCCAGTCAGATGACGATAGTTAATTGTCATGCCACATGGCAAGCTAGCCAACTTAAATTTACAATAGCAAGTGGCATTTCCTAATTAAGTCACTTGGCTGTGTCTAAATATGGGTGAAGTTGATGTTCTCAAAGCAGACATGCAGATGCCCATGGCCTTGTGGCCTAGTGGCATGGAGGCAGCACTTAAGTGCTTGCAAGGGAGAGGTTGGGGGTTCAACTCACCCTAGGAGATAATCTAACATCTAACAATTGACTTTCGCTGATCAAAATAAAAAAAAAACAGACATGGAGATAGAGTTGAGGAACAAATTATGCTCCAGAAATAGATCATATGACAGCAAATATGCACAATTCTTGTCAAATTTAGTCCAACCTTCTAGGCAAAGTTCTGTCCGTATATAGCATTCAGCAGCTGCAGACTTGTGCCTCACATTTAACTGCAGATTTCATGCAATAAATCAGGAAAAGTGAAAAGCTTTTCATAACATGCACAGGCTCAGAAAAAAAATAAAACAAGTTATGAAGGTGATGAAAGGTCGTGACACAAAAATCCACATACACACAGACAACAACATACATGAGTATGTGCATGTATACATACACATGGAAATTAATACATTACTTTCCAACCGTCAATCAAATGCAATGATAACCACCATAACATCAAGGGCAAAGCAATAGAAATCTATCCCAGATTATGTAGCATCATAGAGAAATAATGGACTATAAACTTGAATTTCGATAGTCTCAGACTCTCAGTAGTTCCACTTCCATCACAGAGCATAGACTGAAAACTGAATACAAGAAATATATGAATTAGTTACAGCAATACTCACAGAAGCAAGTTCCAGAGTCGAACAATGTATATTGTTTCCATGTTTCACAACCTGATTTCATCTCACAACCAAATAAAATTTAGTGAAAGTCACTTGAATGGATTTCTTTTCCTTTTATATATACATATATATAAAGCAGAAAAATATCTCCTTCACAACCTGAATGAACTTGCTTGGAAGCTTTCCTTGTATGTCCTTCTGCGGAATGCTAAAGTAAAAGCCTTGCCTCTTGTTAAATGGGATTTTCAAATTTGGCACTTTGAAATCTTCACGATATTGGTTTGCAAGTTTATGTATAGCTGTCAATTCAATGTTAATTAGGGTGCAGGCATAATAACATATCTGCCCACACAGTGGGGTTGGGATATGATGAACTAGTTAACTAGTAGAAAACCTTCACTGATGTCACAAAATGACCTCCTTGCAATATCCAGAAGTCCATCTATTCCTGCCTTAACAGCAAAACACTGCTGTGTCTGGGCAACAAAGGGGACCCGTGCATGAAGCACATCTTCATCAATCACCTCTCCAATTCTGAAATTAACACATCTTTTTTAGCAAGTCAAGTAACTAAAAACTATGCGTTCCCATATGATTATTGACCTTCAATATGTATGACACCTCATTAGTATGTATGCACTAAAGCAGAGCACATAGTACAAGTTAGAAAATCTTCCAAATGACCTGAGTATTATCAGATTTATAGTTTTATTGATACAATTTATAAACTCTTCCATAGTAACAAGAAATTCTCATTGTGAATGAAATCTCCATGATTTGTACAAATTTGGTCCATATACTTGGGGTTGAAACGCCTGTTCTTTCATTCTTCCGTATCGGTGCCCTTTTCCTTCTCTACCATGCATGTAAAACACATTGCAACACTAATCATGAGCATGAAATATCAAATCAGGGATCATCCAAAGCATTTCAGATAAAAATAATGGTTATAATCCATAATATCTCTTTTCACAAGTGAAAGAAAAAATGCAGCATAAAAAAGGCTGACAGCAGCTGAGTTGGTCAGTCGTTAAAATACAAGGTTAAAAACGTAGGCAACAAGTTGGAACATGCTTTATAACTAAGGGATGATGCTTAAAACAAAACATAGAGGAAGAAATGGCATGTAAATGAATCTTGTATTCCTTGCATTAATAGAAATGTGTATCCAAATTCCTTTTCTAACAAATGTGCATACGTAAATCTGGTTTCCTTGAATTGTGTCAGTGATTCTCATTACTCTCTTCCTTACTAAAATCAAGAATCTAGTCTCATCGAAAAAGGTTTTTAGGATTCACATAATAGGCCTCTTTGCAGTGTCAAAGTCCAAGTTTTACAATCATCTAAGGATGACAGAGCAGAGACAACTAAAAGTTGGTCATTAAAAAGCAGAACCAAACCTGCAACTATACCTTTTCCTTATTGAAGCATATTTTTCATTCTCACATACAGATCTGTAAACATTTCCAAGAAGAAAACTATTTGCATCCTTGAGCACCTGAGATGAATAAAAACTTATTGCTTCAAATTACATGACTCTCATAGAACCATAAATGCAAAAGAAATCAACCTAATTTACCTTTAAGAGTAACGGCATTGCATCAAGAGCAGTTTTAAGAAGAATAATGCTTGAAATCAAAATTTGGCTCTTTCTAGCATTATCAATGCCCAATACCTCATTTGTAACTTTCTTTGGCTTGAAGCAGAAGTGACAAAGGACCCTATCTGGATGAAAAGCATGCATAAGTTCATTTTTTCAAACTACTAATAAAGGTATTGGCTCTCAAGAACTGCAAAATACAATTTCCCATGCCTCTTCCTTTTCAGCTTACCAGTTTCTTTTGGAAACTTACGAAGAACCTGGGAGAGACCAAAGAATAGTTGCTCATTGCTCATCAATTCATCCTGAAGTTCAGTTTTAAAACAGGTATCCTCATGCATCTTGATCTCAATTCATGATTGGACTAGCATAACTATCTTTAAAACAGAATCACTTCCAAGCTGCACCTTCATGTAACATGAGGTTCAGTTCAGGTGGATAAAAATTCCCTTTTGATGTGTCTTAGGCGTGTTCCACCCATAGAGGTTACATGGACAAAGAGGAATTCAAAATCCATGAAATGGACCCCAATAATTTTTTGGATTTCACATGCTAACCAAAGTAATTCAGAGCATGGTGTATTATACAAGATTAACAAATCAAAAGGATGATATAGCATAGATGTCTAAACAGACAAGTCCACCAGACCAGAGTACAAATAATCAGAAGAAAGAATAGCTCTCAAGCTAGAAGCCTCATTATAGCTTGGTTATATATTCTAAATTCAATTTTTGCAGAAATCTGGGAGGTAGTTTGAGAGAACCATATTCAACACTGACCAGGCAATCAAGTCTAGTGTTGATAGTTTCAATGTCTTTCAGTGGCTGCAAAAGATTGGCTCGGAGAAGTCTAGTCCTGCAGAAGATCAGATGTCGGATCAAACGAAACTTAACAAAATATGACGTTCCATCATTCCTGACCCATAATATGCTGCAAAAGTCTAAATCCACGAGGTGGTCACAAACATGTCCCATCTTATCAACCAAATTTAATAAAATAAAGAGAAGAAAGAAAGAATAAAAAATGTACATGTAGGGTACTTAGGTTGAATCATATTATTGTATTTTCCAACTACTATTACTACTTACAGTACACTAGAGTGGATGGCCTTCCCATCTTCGATTTATATTTGTTTGGGCTCAACTCAAGTGTTGAGAAATTAAGAAGTGGATGATCTGGCAAAGAGAAATAAGCTAAAATCATCTTTCCTTGGTAGTTTTTTTAAATTCTCCTTTTCATTTTCTCTTTACAATATGTGCTCCCTTCTGCACATTCCTCCTCCATAATCAGATTTTGCTATTACAAAATGACAGAAAAGGAAGATATTCTTCTTAGTTCTTACATATGGCACATGTATCATTTCCTGCTCCCTAGAGTAGAGGTGATCATATAAAACTTTTTATTTGTATATGGCTCAATAAAAGTTGTTTGTTATGTGTTCTATTACAAATATACATATCAGAACAAGTATTTAATAGATTGCAGGATTTGGAAATTGAGCAACAAGCCAACAAGTTCACTTTCCTACGCTGAACAAGGTCACTCTTCAAATAATTGTTTGTAGGTTAAAATTTATAGTATGCTGGTGATATGTTGCCTTCAAATCACATTAATGGCATATATATTTGACACTGCTGAAACAACTTTAGATTGAGTAAATCATAGTTTCAAAGTATCACTTGGTATCCTCTATTTTTGTGAATAATAAAATGTCATCTTTGAAGGGAGCTTTTTGTCTAATGAAAGAACAAGTCTGGGTTATGCTGTACTGCATTAAAAGGATAAATAGAATAAACAAAAACCTGTATACTGCAACATTTAAAGCTAACAGCAGATATTGTAGAAACTAAAAAATAAAAGTAGAAAACAAGAAAGTGAAGCACTAGCTGCATTATTGATAGGGTTTTCAACATACCCTCCAATAGTTCTTGTTGTCTTCAGCATGTGGAATAGACTTCTCTTTTTGTTGCTCGTGCCCCAAAGAGTCGAATGCAATGGATCAATGATTTCCAAGTTCTGGACACTGTTATCAAATTGCAAGTATTAAATTTGTCCCCTACATGTAACAAACTGATTGGAAATTTAAAAGAGCATTTTCATGTAAAAATTTCCAAATATTTACCTGACATATTAAATGCCTAATGGCAGAATGGAACTTGATTGTATTTATAGGAGGGAAAAAAAAACGAAAATGGTGACAATTGCCTTTCAGGAAGGGTACCTGGTGGCATCAATATTCATGTGGTCAAATGATCCATTAAAAGTAACCTGGGAAAAGAGAATGCACAAGAAGAGTAAAGATTTTTGAAGGCTTGCAATGTAAGTTTCTAGATAGACTGACTATCCTTCTGATAAAGGGCTTCCAAATGTATCTTTGCACCCATTTAGCCATTGATCTCAGACAAACAATCAATTACTCAGTAACATGAACTTCAACAAAACAAGTGTTTTTTATTTAAATAAATGCTAAGGTGGAAAAATCGAAGAGAATCAAATCCAAAGTCAAATGAGATGGATTCAAAGTATAATAGCTAGAGATACATTGTTGGGCCCATTTCCTAATAGTTTAAGCTTTTGGGACTAGTGATGATCTAACATGATATCAAAGCTCAGGCTGGGAGGGCTCTTGTGTTCAAGTCTATTTGTTTGCATTTATTCTCCATTTGCATTTATTCTAACATGTTTGTTTGCATCTCCACATGCAAGACAGGGTTCTGTTAGCATATTATATTAGCCGAAAGTGTTAGCATATTATATTAGCCGAAAGTTACACTAGGGTCTGTAATCATTTTGTGCCTTCAGGGATCATCTTGTAATTGTGTTTCTTGTAAACCCTAATCTTCATTTATAAATAGGGGTGATATTCTATCATACCCTAAGCTGGTTACCCAAGCTTCATGGTATCAGAGCTTCACCTCTAGGGTTAGGATTCAAAACATACCTAGTTGGATCATCTGCTGGGTCGATCTTCAGCCACCGTCGTCATTCTGCTTCGTCTTCGTCTCCGTCTCAGCTTCGTCACTCGTCGATCTCAGCTCCTCAGCTCGTCGATCAGCTTCGCAGCTCGTCGATCTCAGCTCCTCCAGCGGTTCGTCGCTCATCGCCCTTGTCGTCCTCTGTCGTCTTCGTCACTCCTCCCCGATCAGCCCACTCATCCCCTTCGTCGTTCGTCTCCACCCCCTCGTCGTCCTCTGATCTCCTACCCAGGTATATATAACTATATCTATCCTGATATATCTATAAATCTAGCCTAATAGCTATATTTATATATAAATACATGTATATATAAATAACTCAATATATATATATATATAATAAAAACAAAAAAAAAAAAAAAAGGGAAAAAAAAAAAATAAAATAAAATAAAATAAAAAATGGTTTCTTAATGTCTCTATAGTTTTCATTGTGCCTGTTATCTACCTTCTGGGTTTGTGATTGCCACTAGTTTTGTTGCGGGTTCGGTAGTATTGTATCCATGACAGATTCCACCAGTGTGTCCCCTTCTTCTCAAACACCAAAGAGTGAGAGTCCCATTCTACCTACTACCATGACTGAGAACCCCAACCCTAGTCTGAAAATCACCACCTCTCTATTTAATGGTCAGAACTACATAGCATGGTCTCAAAGTTTGACTATGTTTTTGAAGAGCAGAGGGAAGATGGGGTATGTTGATGGCAGGATACAGGCACCTAGTACCACTGACTCAGGTTATGACCAATGGGAGATTACCAACTCTTTGATTATGAGTTGGCTTATCCATTCGATGGTTCCAGAACTTGGTGAGGGCTACTTATCTATGGAGACTGCCCAGGACATTTGGGAGGCTGTGGCTGTTACCTATTCCCGCAAAGGAAATTTTTCACAGGCATTTGAGTTGCGCCGATCTATTGAGAGCTCACTTCAGGGGGAGCAGACTGTTCTTCAGTACTTCACTTTCCTCACCAACAGCTGGAAACGCCTTGACCACCTGGAAGACTATAAACCACAATACCTCCATAACTCTCACATTTGTTCACATTAAGCTTTCATGGTTCAGTAGTTCTCAAAATCATGGTAAGGCACGAATCCATGTGACATATGACATTTTCTCATATTCACAATCAACATCCATTTTCAATTTTTCCAAAATCCAAATATATATACACCACATATTACCATATTAGCCAGAGAAACCTGTTGAGTAGATTGATCTACCGGAGAAAGGACATAAGCTTGAGAGTTTGTAGAGGTGTGATGAGCCTGAGGTCCAAGATTGCTCCCTTTTTTTTCAGTTCCCTTCGTCTGAACAAACCACTTTGGATACCCATTCAATTTAAAACATGTTTCTCGCACATGATTGGTACCGTGACAGTAGGTGCACTTCCTATTGCTAGAATTTTTTGACCCAGAAAATACTGATGGAGACTGAGAATTCCTAAAAGTCATATCTGAGCCCATTAACAGAGACCGAGGAGAAGCACCAGCCAACATAGTAGATCCATCATGAAATTTTCCAGCCATCATAGTAGTCTGATGAAGCTCTTCATGGCGTACAAGAGTGAAAGCATTACGGACATTGGGAAGAGGATCTTGAGCCAAGACTTTGTTAGCATATTATATTAGCCGAAAGTGTTACTAAGGTCTGTAATCATTTTGTGCCCTCAGGGATCATCTTGTAATTGTGTTTCTTGTAAACCCTAATCTTCATTTATAAATAGGGGGTGATATTCTATCATACCCTAAGCTGGTTACCCAAGCTTCATGGTATCAGAGCAAAGATTGGCTCGGAGAAGTCTAGTCCTGCAGAAGATCAATGTCGGATCAAAACGAACTTAACAAAATATGACGTTCCATCATTCCTGACCCATAATATGCCGCAAAAGTCTAAATCCACGAGGGTGGTCACAAACATGTCCCATCTTATCAAACCAAATTTAATAAAATAAGAGAAGAAAAGAAAGAATAAAAAATGTACATGTAGGGTACTTAGGTTGAATCATTATTATTGTATTTTCCAACTACTATTACTACTTACAGTACACTAGAGTGATGGCCTTCCCATCTTCGATTATATATTGTTTGGGCTCACTCAAGTGTTGAGAAATTAAGAAGTGGATGATCTGGCAAAGAGAAATAAGCTAAAATCATCTTTCCTTGGTAGTTTTTTTTAAATTCTCCTTTTCATTTTCTCTTTACAATATGTGCTCCCTTCTGCACATTCCTCCTCCCATAATCAGATTTGCTATTACAAAATGACAGAAAAGAAGATATTTCTTCTTAGTTCTTACATATGGCACATGTATCATTTCCTGCTCCCTAGAGTAGAGGTGATCATATAAACTTTTTATTTGTATATGGCTCAATAAAGTTGTTTGTTATGTGTTCTATTACAAATATACATCAGAACAAGTATTTATAGATTGCAGGATTTGGAAATTGAGCAACAAGCCAACAAGTTCACTTTCCTACACCGAACAAGGTCACTCTTCAAATAATTTGCTTGTAGGTTAAAATTTATAGTTGCCGGTGATAATGTTGCCTTCAAATTCACATTAATGGCATATATATTTTGACACTGCTGAAATAACTTTAGATTGAGTAAAATCATAGTTTCAAAGTATCACTTTGGTATCCCTCTATTTTTGTGAATAATAAAATGTCATCTTTGAAGGAGCTTTTTGTCTAATGAAAGAACAAGTCTGGGTTATGCTGTACTGCATTAAAAGGATAAATAGAATAAACAAAAACCTGTATACGCAACATTTAAAGCTAACAGCAGGATATTGTAGAAACTAAAAATAAAAGTAGAAAACAAGAAAGTGAAGCACTAGCTGCATTATTGATAGGGTTTTCAACATACCTCCAATAGTTCTTGTTGTCTTCAGGCATGTGGAATAGACTTCTCTTTTTGTTGCTCGTGCCCCAAAGAGTCGAATGCAATGGATCAATGATTTCCAAGTTCTGGACACTGTTATCAAATTGCAAGTATTAAATTTGTCCCCTACATGTAACAAACTGATTGGAAATTTAAAAGAGCATTTTCATGTAAAAATTTCCAAATATTTACCTGACATATTAAATGCCTAATGCAGAATGGAACTTGATTGTATTTATAGGAGGGAAAAAAAAACGAAAATGGTGACAATTGCCTTTCAGGAAGGGTACCTGGTGGCATCAATATTCATGTGGTCAAATGATCATTAAAGTAACCTGGGAAAAGAGAATGCACAAGAAGAGTGTTAGAATTTACCTACACCTACCACCACCTACTACCACACCTACTACACCTACCACCAATTTACCCTCACCTACTCCTCACCTACTACCAAACCCTCTCCTATAATATGAGCTACTCTGATTTTGTAATAGAACACAACAATCAATTAATCAATCAATATACATCTATTTTTCATGGTATCAGAGCTATAGGTTAAAGATTTTGGTGTTCTTCGCCTTCCGGCGGGCGGGCAACCTTGCCTTGACCGCCCGCCGGGTCTCAACCAACTGTACCATACTATACCAATAGTAAGTAACCATTTGCAGAGACCAGAATAGTGAGAATGGCCACTATGAACCTCCCTTTCTATCTTCTTTTTCTACACCATGGATGACTTTCGGAGAAGCCATGTACCGGCTTCCGGAAGCTGGGATTGCACCGACGATCTCCCTTTTCTCAAGTGCTTCGAATCGGCGAGCAAGCCGGCTTGCTTCGCTACAGCTACTCTGCAGATCGCGATCTCTACGTCGCCGGCGATTTGTACGAGAACGACGTCGTCCCCTTCCTCCTCAAATACCAGCTCCCCAACGACACCTCGACTCCCTCATCTCCGTCACCACTGTCCCGTTCGTTTTCCAGCTTGGGATTTGCCGTCGGCCCATCTCCTCTTCCTCCTAATCCCAGGTTTGAGAAACCCACCGGCTGGGGGTCTCGAAATCACCGTTGTCAGCAATCCGTCTTGTAATTGTCCAGCAGCTAAATGAGAAGAAGTAGCCCAGGAGTGAGACCCATTTGGTTCTTGTTGAGCTCCAAACAATCCTCATAGCCATATGTATGTGTGTTCGCACTCTCTTTTACCTTTCTCTCACTTCCTTCTCTCTCTAAAAACAGCGTACTGCACACACTCACTTGATGATGGTGCTCAAGTAAGAAGAACTATACTGTGAGAGAGAGAGAGAGTAAAGAGGCCAAGTGGCTGGACCTGAATCTCAGATAAAAGGAACATACTCATTGAAAGAGAAGAACCACCAAACAAAACAGGGGCTGTTTTTTTTCAATGACCACAGATTCCCCTCATCTCTCTTTCACTTCTCTCTCACTCACATGCGGGACACAGAGTTTCCTCCTCTCCACCTCTTCTCCACTTTAATCACGTGGGTTTTGTCCCTCTTTCATTCTTTTTTATTTTTTTTACTACCCACTCTTCTTTTTTTTTATAATATATATTTATTATAATATTACTTACACCTCCACTATGTCAACTTTTGCCCGACTATATCAACTTTTCTCTAACATCCTCTCTTTCATGGATACACATCAAAAAAAAAAAAAAAAAAAAAAAACTAAAAATAAAATAAAATTTACCAATTTTCACAACAACCCATATTTTTATTCATCTCAGGGATCAACCTCGATCACAATTTACCACCAAAAAAAAAAAAAAAAAAAAAAAAAAAACACAAACCAATCAACCACACCCACCGCGGGTTTTTTCTTCTCTACTCTACTGCAGGTCTCTTCTTCTTGCCTCCGTCCTGGCCGGCCCTTGACGTGTTTGCCTCAGTGCTTCCTTGTCCACCGAGCACGTTCACTCCCCCATAACTCCTCCACTGCAGCATATGGGCCCTCCAAATCGAACATCACGGTGGCCTTCCGCTTCAGTTCCTTATTTCTGCCTTAAGCACACTTATCTCTGCCTCGCGCATCCTATACATGCGTTGAGCAGAGCCAGCTGGAGTTTAATTGCTGCACCTCATTTGTCCTACTCTGGCAGCCGGTCGACAAGTTTGTGACGCCGTCATGGACTCCACACATCTTCAAGAGTATACTGATTGGCCTCCACATCCGACTGCACTGCCATTCTTTTGCTCCACAGGACCGCATCGGAAAGTTCAACGGCAAACTCCGGGGCACTTGGGTTGAGGTTCCAGTGCCACCGCACCAGTTCTCTCTCTTGTTGACTCGTTGAGGTCGGGAAAGAGGGTGACAGTCCACGGGAGACCGAGACGAGGCATTTTCTGGGCAACAGACAAGTGTTACAGAATATCTCTCGCAACAGAGTGTTACAGACTCTCTCTCTCAGCACAACAAGAGTTTTTCAGACTCTGTCTCTCAGCACAACGAAGTTTTTTTTCAGAGGTTTTTTCGCAGCTTTTCTCTGCCTCGGCTCAGCCTCCGTTAAATAGCCGAGGCAGCCACACGCATCGCGCGCCTCTTGCCCCCAGCCGACAAACGGGCACGCAAGCCAAGGCGCCCACGTGCCTCGCCATCATGTCCGGCACACCTTTTGATGAATTGGGCACGCCTTTTGATGGCACGCCTTTTTATGGATTGGGCACGCCTTTAGATGGCACGCCTTTTTGAAAAATTGGGCGCACCTTTTGAGGATGCGATTTTTTACAAGGGTCCGACAAGACTCTGTAAACTGTCCCGACATTGATTCCGGTTAGCTCCTTTATGGGTCCGACAAGACTCTGTAAACTGTCCCGACATAGATTCCGGTTAGTTTCTACAAGGGTCCGACAAGACTCTGTAAACTGTCCCGACATTGATTCCGGTTAGTTTCTATAAGGGTCCGACAAGACTCTGTAAACTGTCCCGACATTGATTCCGGTTAGCTCCTTCATGGTCCGACAAGACTTTGTAAACTGTCACAACAACTGTCACAACATGAACTGTCTTCTACAACGGTCCGACATGACCCCATAAACTGTCCTTCTACATCGGTCTGACACCGCCATCCAGTGTTTCTAA